TTGGTGGCCACTGCTGGAGGATCTCTATGAAGAGAACATCCCTGTGTACAGATTTATCCAGAAACCAGGAGACCTGGTCTGGGTGAACTCAGGAACTGTGCACTGGGTACAGGCTATTGTAAGTATATACATGCTTGTGTGGAGATGTACATTTACATGCAGAAACACTCACACATGCACGCACACACATAGGCACAAATAAACAAGAGTTATACATTTGTGTACACAAAGGTCCCCCCCATCGGACATACTCCCTAACCATCCTCTCTCTTTCTCTCTCTCACATGCACACTCTCTAGTAGCACACACAGATACACCCTGCCTTAATGGTAAACATCTGGTAAATGATAAATGTATTTTATGTCTATATATGATTGGATTGATAATGACATGATGTATTTCTAGGGCTGGTGTAATAACATAGCCTGGAATGTGGGTCCGCTCACTGTCCGCCAGTACCAGCTTGCGGTGGAGAGATACGAGTGGAACAAACTACAGAGCGTCAAGTCCATAGTCCCAATTATTCACCTGTCTTGGAATCTGGCAAGAAACGTGAAAATATCCGAGCCAAAGCTGTTTGAGCAAATCAAGTAAGTGGAGGGAAGTTTCTCTCACAGTCTTAACAAAACTTTACCGTTTAGTCATTTTTTCAAGGGATTACTAAAAATGTATCCCTAGAAATTTAAGTGAATATTTTTATTTTTTAGCAAGAAATAACTTCAATCCAAATTAAATTTGTGCGAAAATAACTGATACTGTCCAGTTAGAGCATTGTCAAGTAACCCATCAAAATTCTGCTCCTTTACTTTTCGATTAAATGTTTCTAAGCATGGCATTTCTCATTCGTGTACATTTTAACCCAGATTACTTCCAGTTATAACAAAGTCTTCTTTTAAAGAACACTTACAGAACAGTATTCATCCAGGCATTGTGAAGGTTAACACCAGAACTATTTTTAAAACAGGAGGGATGAACATATGAGGAAAAAGCTAGGATTTGCATCAAACAAATTGATATTTTCCAGATACTGTCTCCTGCGTACCTTGAAGCAGTGCCAGATGACACTGGAGTATATAAAGACCCTGGGTCTGGAAGCTAAGTGGCACGGGAGGTCCAAGGGGGAGGCTGCTTATTACTGTAATATATGTGAGGTGAGGGGACACTTGTGCCAGTGTCGTTTTGGGATTGTATTTCAATGAGATGTATCAGAATATATTTTGTACCTCTCAGATACGATTTCTTAATCTTAGTTTCTGTTTTACTTCAAATTTATGAATTAAGTTATTCAGTATTCTGTTTGCAGTTGGAGGCAGATGAATGTTTCTTTTCCTTTTATTATTTTTCTTTATTTGCTTGAATTGTAATTATAATTCTAAAGTTAAAATTAAATTAAAACTTTAATTCACAACACAGACTGGATTCTTTCAATTGTTCAGATTGATATTTTTGAAATACAGTTTTTCATTGAGCAAGATGAGCTACATCTACACTGCTTAAATTATAGTAATTTGATATTCTTTCTGGATTAAGAATGCCCTGTTCTTGACAACGATTTCAATTCCACTTTAACTTCAACAGATTGAGGTCTTCAACATCCTGTTTGTGATTGAGCAAGAGAAGAAGTTCCATGTGCACTGCCTGGACTGTGCCAGGAAGACCAGCTCTACTCTGGAAGGCTTCATTGTCCTCAATCAGTACACCATGGATGACCTGATGGAGGTCTATGATAACTTTCAGTTGCATCAGGTGAGCAAAACACAGGGGCAGATACAAATATATTTTCGGACAATTTTCCAAATGATCTTTGTTGACGTAGCCTCCACTTTTGACCATCTTCCAACCGAAAAAAATTAGATGCCTGGTGGATTAGTAACTCTCTCTTCTTAGTAAAGGAAGAAAAGTGTTCTCCTTAAACTAGATAATTACTATAAAAGAAGAAGTATTTTTGCCTCAAAATCTGTCTCCTTTTCAGAGAAATACTTCTTGTGGGGGATTTTAGCAAATTTTAACTACAGCAAATGCTACAGCACTACAAGATATTATTATTTTTGTTGTTATTATTATTGCATCAAATCTTTAACGCTCACACCAACATTTTTACTTAATTTTTTTATTGCAGCAAAAGAGTGCTATAACTGCCTCCTCCTCATGATGACTGGCTGATCATGTGACATTTCTTCATTGTGATTGGGTGAGAGTTTGATCATGTGACTACAATATCAGCTTACACCAAAGATCTCAAGGAACTCTGGGGCAAAGAGCAAAATGTGATGTGGCTGTCCCTAGACAAAGAGGACTATGACAGCATTAAGTAAACTTCCGTTTAGGTGGGGTATCTAGTAGCAGTGTAGAAGGCAGTGTTGTTATAAAAAAACTTATTCTTTGCGAGCTGCTTTGTTATAATTCAGAAAAGATCATTTTGCTGGCTATGATTATTGTGGATAACACTTAGGTGTCTTCTGCTAGTGCTCCCATTTTGGATGAATGGATAGATAGATGGCAGCACAAAGCAAGATATACCTATCCAATGAAAGATATTGCTTTCATCCTGTGGCACTGATTACCAGAGGAAGAATATGGACCTCACCCTCTTTATGCTAAAATTATGTACTGATGAATACACATAGTATTTATTCTTTAAAAATGTTTACTTTATATATCTCCTAATCACTATGCTTAAAGTATTGATGGTTATGATATTCTTAAACATGATGCTCCTGGGTAAAGGTATAGAACCAAGTTTGGAGCCATAATGCAATGCCATTACTATTGCAGCCAACCTAAAGCAACAACAACGATGCTAATATACAGCTTTGAGTACCTCAAGGAAATATACACACATATATAATATATGATATGAATATGTATACAAGAGCAATAAGTACAAGCTCTAACACTGCCAACCAGAAATTATATATATTAATTATGGAAGTGTTCCATACACAAATGTTAAGATCTCAACATTTTCTACCAATCTGTATGCTTGTTAATGACCAGTGTAAATGATAGGGGTTAATTTTATATTTAAAACATAATAACATGGTGCAGTCCAGAAATGTATACACTGGAGTGATGCACATACATTAAGCTAATAACAAAGTTATATATGTGTATATGAGATATTTATTATTCAATACGAGGCACAGTTGTTAATAATGGGTCTTCTATTCAGGCCAACCATTTTTAAGAGTATTTATACTCGAGATATAGGCCATTTTGGATATGGGTTTGTTAGTTAGAGATAACATTTGCAAATTGAACGGCATATTTTTACATGAAGTTATTTCGCTTGAAATTTTGCACATTGAAAGTAGATGTTAATTCCCTGGCATGACTCGTAGTTTTGCACAGTTCATCTGTTGTGCAAAAGATGTGCAGTGTGTTGACTGTAAAGCTGTTTATTAATAACATTATTAAGGGATGCCCATACAACATACCCGTGCTTGTTTAAATTGATGGCTGAGTTAATTTATAGATTTGGAATTGTTATACTGATGGTAAAGTGTATATACATAAATTATCCCCATGGGTACCATTAGTTAATGTAAAATCGCTAGGTGGGGACACAACTGTTTGTGGCTTATCACCAGGTGGAAACACTAGTGTAGATATCCAAGAGATACTGGATCAGAATTAATCAAATTTAGTAAAAAGCATGATTCATTTATTTTCTTTATCTTTTTCCGCTGATAATTCTTCAGTTGCTCATTTTTGTACATTTTGTAAATAGGTGACACCTTTTCTTTTCTAAATCCCTACCTCTAATTTTTTGTAGCTTAGCTTATTTTGAACATTTGTTCTTCTGAGCATCCTTTAACCTTTTAATGTAAGTTCATCAAGTCCTACATATATTACGGAACTAGAAATACTGGCCCATTCTCTGACCCACTTGATAGACCGGAATCTGCATGATTGTTTATATTTCAGCATATAGGGTAAACAAGGTATAAAGTTTTGTTGTTATCTTTGATAGGGACATACTATGGAAAACAGTTTTTTTTTCGGGGGGGGGGGGGTATTTGTTTGCTTTTGTCAGTTATAAAAGTGAACTAAATTCATGGTGAAGTTGATGTGATTTAATGTATCACATCTGCCGTTGTCTTTCTCTCCCATTTTCAGTCCACCTCCAAAATGTTGGCAAATTGAAAAAAAGAGCTAGTCACAGCTGATACTAAGAATTAATAATCTGTTAATAAATTTTTTTTTTTTGTTTAATAGCTGATTTTTTTCATGTCTTCATTTTTTTTTAAACTTGATTTGAAAAACTAATTATGTAGTAGATGTACCAAAGTAAGGAGCAAAAATGATTCTCAGACCTCAGTTCATCACGATTCAAGTTATCATCGCCACTGCAGTATGGAATTGGTACCCTTACCTTACAGTCTTGTCGTGTTTGCATTTTCTGTATTTGATTCATCCCCTATTTGACCAGGTTGGAGGGTTTTTTTTTCAATGGTATTTTTAAAAAATATTTTCATGTCGATTATTTTGAGGCAAATTTTAAAAGGGGACTTTCTTGGCCATTCAGTAAAATTGTAAATATTTCGTTCTTTAATCATCTTGATTTTCGAAAGAATATCATTTTGAATTTCATTTTTTTTTTCAGGAAAAGAGTTAATGTCTGTAGAAATTAACCGTATAGTACCGTCAACATTAGTTTGCTATCACTGATAGGTGTTTCAGACATTGTTTTGTTTTGCTAATACTTAGATTGTACATGTAGCAACTGAACTAAATAATTGAAAATAAATATTTCTGGTAAAATAATATCACTTGTGTTTTATGTTTTTAAAACGAATTTGATGATTATATATAAAACTGACAGGCTCTCGATTGCTTAACGTTAACTTGACAGCTGGGCCCATAGGGCTCATTCCCAATGAAACTGTGGTTCTAAGTAGGTCGATCCAACTCTCACTGAATGCAATGAGATTAACACGCCTCTTTCTTCCAACGTACTCGTATGATCACCGGCTTTTCTGTATTCTACTTAACGCCAGGAGGCATGTTAACCTGATTGCATTCAGCAATTGTCCCATTGGAGTTGGATAGATCTACGTACTAGACCGATAGTTCCATTGGGAATTAATGTAAGCCCATAGTCCCAATTGGCTCAAAAGTAAGTGTGGTAACTTTTCTAACTCCTGTGAGATACTGTTGTTATGGGACCCTGAATGGGTATATTAAATAGTGAGTGGACTGGTAAGTCATTAGTGGAATAAGAATCGGGAATATATATCAATCATATTCAGGAAGTTGTGTGGTAAAATTTAAAAACTAATCAACATTACGGTCTCGCCCTGAGACCTTTCACTAGGTAACGACTGATCACCTCATTTAGTGTCATACGGTTGGCAATAGAAATGAGGACTCGCACAACTGGATCTGGGCGCTGAAGACTGTTCCTTGAGGGATGACACTAAATGGGGTGACCAGCTCATCGAAGCCATAACCTAGTGAAAGCTGTCAGGGTTAGACAGCAAAGTCGGTAAATCGAGGGATATTGGCCACGTAAGTTTCAGAATTTGATGGATATATTTTCTCGCATCAGGTATTTAGCCTCTGCGATTTTGTTAAGCTGAGCTATTTGACATTTTTTTTTATTGTAAAAGCGTAGACCGTAGTGATACCATAGATGTCGACAATGCACAGTTCCCGCACGGGCATTGTTCTGCGGACTTGCTGTAATCGTGATAATGATCGAACCTGTTGTTTATCTCTTACCTGTTTACGTTTGGTGGGTGTACAATGCATAACAACAGTAAACATGTTTAAAATTTAGCGGTATTTACTTGCACGAATTTAAAATTGTGCGTTTCCTCATTCTGACCGCATGGGTGCTAAAACAATAGGGGTCTGCAAGGACAACATATCAATCTCCAAGAAAGCAGCATGGAAGGCATGAGGCAACTGCACTGAGACTGACAACCTTTTAAACCAAAAAACCGACTTTGGCACTGTGGTAGCATCCTCCTCCCCACCATATAGCTCTGTGATATTCAATATCTTTTCTCTATGAATTTGAGTGGTGACTTTGAGCAATGTCTCTGATACTCAAATAAATTAATTTGGAAATTCTTTTACTTATTTTTAAGATATTTCACATAAAAATTTACGCCTCCCAAATATTATGAGAGCCGATGTTATCGCTGGGCTGAAAATAGCTGTAATCACATTGGTCAATTAACGTGGATGTTTATAAAGAAAGATAAAAGATAAGTAAGTAAATTTCCAAACTAATTTCTTTGAATAGCAGAGACATTGATCATAGTCACCACATAACTTAATTTTGATTAGCATTAAAAATGACAGAGTTTAAAGGATGGGTGGGTGGGGAGTTACAGCAAAAGTGCCCCAAAATTTCCCCCAAGGCCAGGTCAGCCAAATGGCACTGTGCCCGAATGTAAAGTAAACGTCCTCACCCTAGCCCGTAGCCACTTACGGTGTCATAAAAATCGCATGGAAAAACGTATTTCATTGATTGGCGTATGCCGACAATGTGATCGAAGTTTTACGTCCTATCAATCAAATCTTAACTTTTAAATACAAACCCTAATGCCCTCATAATTCAGTAAAATAATTTCTTGTCTTTCTTGGATCAACTCTCATTCCCTACTTTACCTTTACCTTCAATTTCTTCTCTTAAGAGTTCTCTTTAATTACCTTAATGCAGGATCGCTTTCAACCGCAGCTCTAAATCTAAATAGAAATAAAAAAATGCTTAACATAATTTTGTGTTTGCATAATGCTAAACTGTACACGCATTCATAATTAAAAACACGGCCAGTACACCCCACAGCATCTCCGGTGCATCCAGTACTCCTTTACATTTCTTTTTCATTGCGGGAGAGAAGTTACTCGTCCCTTTACCGAATAAATCGATGAAATATTGCAGGGAAATAAGTTCTTTTAACTCAAAATGTACAGTTATTACTGTTTCTCCATGCACATATATTTTTAACTGTTGGACAAAACGATAGTTTTAACCGTATCTACGTTCCTACTTAACAATTACGAAAATGCTTGAACAGTACGTGCCCTTAAAATGCCTTACTTAAATTTGTTAAGTTTTTGTGTCTCGGTAAAATCATCGATTTATTTCTTGTGTATTCACCAGTCTTCTTTGTTGGTCGTTAGCCTTATGTTCACATATCTATGACTTTTATAATATAGCTTTTCCTTTTCTCTTTTTTTTATTCTTGTTTGCTCTTTATATATGGGGGTTATTGAAGGTAATGGACGAGATCTCACGTATTGATCACATTTCTCCCTGTTTACTGTGTTCCCTTGGTTGTGTTTACACTACCAAAACAATGTACAAACAGGTGCTGTATACGCTTTTGTGCCTCTGCTATTAAACACCACTAAAATGAAAGAAAAAAAGGTTTTGTATGAAGTTATATTGACCTCGTTTTAAGGTGTGTATACACAATAGCTGTTTACATTCAACTGCCGTCGCGGCAGCCATTTTGTATTTTCGATGTCAGACAGCTAGGAGTGTGGCGTTTCTGGCAATGTCAGGATTCATGGTGCAATAATGGAATTAACAAACGACACGACTGTTTCTGTAAACCCCTTTGATGCATTTGCGTCCTGGGAATTCCTGAGACATATTCTCTCTGACGTATTGCCGAAAACATGGATAATTTTAAGTGGAGTGTCCTATGTAATTGCTGAGGTATTGGTTTGGACATTTGCCAAGAGAAGTGTCTTTCTTGAATTCATGAAATGGATTTGCTATATAGGAGCAGCAAAAGCCCCAAAATTAAAATCGGTAACTGAAAATGCCGAAACAAACGTAGCCATTTTGAAATGTGAGTTTTCTGAACAACATTCATATCTGTCGCGCATTTTCCCACTCATTAAGGAGGACGCTGTCGTTTACCTGACGAATCGTAATATAGAAAAAAGGGGTGATTGGAAGCTGGAAAGAAAAAATTACAACTGTCATCTTCATTTGGGTCATGTTCAGGATCCTTCAATTATAAACGCTACAATCAGAGTCCAAGCAAAATATGGGAACATACTTTTTGGCAGCAGAGAAGAGGCACATGTGTTTAGCCCACAGAGTAACGAGATACAGCATGTCTTCTTGTGTAAGTTATATACAATAGATGCTTCATGTTAACAATGCGCTTGCAACCTTTTTAGTCTATGGGCCAATGTAGACCCCCTTCCCCCCTTAGTGATTTTCATTCACTTTGTTTTTCTGATAGCTTAGGTCCTAAGCTTTTATTTTCTGTTTGTTTGCCATTAAATATGTGTGCTACAGCCGTTGCAATGGCAATAACAACTGAAATTAAAATTTTAAATTGCTGACACAAAAAAATATGTAAGGGATAACAACTGTTTATTTTGTCCAAAAATTTTTTCCTGGAGTAAACAACAATTTTGTCATACTTACAAAAAATATTTTGTAATAAACTCTTAGGAGATTATTACAAAGCATGGCCACCTATGCAGGTTTTTGTGGTAAATTAGAATGTATTATATTTCTATGAGTTGTTTACAATGTTTTTTATTGTGAAATACAGACTTCACACGAAGCTTTATCCCTTTAAAGATGCATCAACAAGATCAAGTCAATTTTTGCCACAAAAGCCAACCAAGTGCCGCATTATAGTTTCAAGTAGTATAACTAAGGAAATTAACAAAAGGCATTGTTTAATTATACATGAAAATGATGTTTGAACGGATTTTCCTGCTAGCATTCTATGGTGGATCTCAGTTAGGCAGAAAAGTAGGTCACGAAAGTAGGTTAATTTTTGACCAAAAATTTAAAGTAAGGAGCAGTCTTAAGCTCTTTTCCGGCTGATCGAGTAATCTATTCAGTTTATCCCTTCGCATGTCAAATTTATTCGGGTCGTACAAGAAACTTGTAGAAGTGGTTTATATGTGTTACTGGGAATCCATGCTCCACCGATGCTCGGTATGTATGTACCTTTAA